TTTTTTCTCTTTTTTTTCTCTTTTTTTCTCTTTTTTCTCTTTTTCCTCTCTTTTTTCTCTTTCCCTTTTCCTTTCTACCCTTTCCTTTCCCTCTTCCCTTTCCTTTCCCCTTTCCTCTTTCCTTTCCGTTCCCCCGTTCCATTCTCCCTTTTCGTTTATTTTCCTTCATCTTTCCCTTTCCCCTCCAGGACCTAAACGTGGATGAATTTGAGGAAATCTTCAAAACGAAGGCTCAGGGCCCGGCCATGGACCTGAGCTCCAGCAAGCAGAAGATCCCTCAGAAAGGCTCCAACAAGGTGACACTGCTGGACGCCAACCGAGCCAAGAACTTGGCCATCACCCTGCGCAAAGCGGGGAAAACGGCTGATGAGATCTGCAAAGCCATCCACGTGTGAGTGAGGGCAGGCTGGGAGGGGGGAGGAAGGGGAATCTCGAGGAATTCTGAGCTCCAGGGTCGTTCCCATGAGGCATTCCTGCCTTCCCAGTTTGGAATAACCTGGGAACGGCTCCATTCCACACTGGGAAATGCCTCGTTGTCCATTCCACACTGGGAAATGCCTTTTTCCATGGGTGTTCAAAGTTAGGGGTGTTCAAAGTTAGGGGTGTTCCAGCTGTGTTTCCATGGCTGTTCAAAATGAGTGTGAATCTCCCAGATTTACTGGGAGCACTGGGAAGAGGATGGGGGTGAGATTGACAATTGATGGAAATGCTTTGGCAGCTGGGAAATACTCCGGGGGGAGGATGGAATGATTGTGAATTCCCAGGAATCCCAGACTGCTTTGGAATGGGAAGGACCTAAATCCCATCCAGTCCCATTCCAGGGACACCTCCCACTGTCCTAGGCTGCTCCAAACCCTGTCCAGCCTGGCCTTGGGCACTCCCAGGGATCCAGGGGTGGAATTCCATCCCAGCCCCTCCCAGGAACAATTCCCAATTCCCAATATCCCACCCATCCCTGYCCTCTGGCAGTGTGACCCCATTCCCTGGCTCCTGTCCCTCCATCCCTTGGCCCCAGTCCCTCTCCAGCTCTCCTGGAGCCCCTTCAGGCCCCAAAAGGGGCTCTGAGCTCTCCCTGGATCCTTTTCCCTTCTCCAGGGGAGCATTCCCAGCTCTCCCAGAGCCATGGCCGGGTCCCTTGGGTGTCCCCTCATCCTCTCCGGGCTCTGTCCCCCAGGTTTGACCTGAAGACGCTGCCGGTGGATTTTGTGGAGTGCCTGATGAGGTTCCTGCCCACGGAGAACGAGGTGAAGGTGCTGCGGCTCTACGAGAGGGAGAGGAAGCCCCTGGAGAACCTTTCGGACGAGGATCGCTTCATGCTGCAGTTCAGCAAGATCGAGAGGCTGATGCAGAAAATGACCATCATGGCCTTCATCGGCAACTTCGCCGAGAGCATCCAGATGCTGACCCCGGTGAGCACGGATTGGGCATGTCCTGGGTGGGAAGGGATCCACGGGATTGGTGATATCTTGAATGGGAACAATGGGATCACAGAATCAGGGATATCCTGAGTGAGAAGGGATCCATGGGATCAGGGAATCAGGAATATCCTGAGTGGGAACAACCCACAGGATCAGGGAATATTCTGAGTGGGAACAACCTATGGGATCGGGAATATCCAAGTGGGAACAACCCACGGGATCGGGAATATCCTGAATGGGAACAACCCACGGGATTGGGAATATCCTGAGTGGGAACAACCCATGGGATCGGGAATATCCTGAATGGGAACAACCAATGGGATCGGGAATATCCGAGTGGGAACAACCCCT